TTGGCCCCTTTTTAAAAAAAAAAAAAAAAAAAAGCAAAAGAAACATTAATGAGGCAATTATCTCTGAGTATTAGAATCTGTGCATACATGTGATATATATAGATCTTCAAGATAAACAGGCATTCAGATGGCCAGAAAAGTTGTCACGTGGAAAACTGACACTATATAAACTGACATTAAACATTCTGCTTATGTAAATATACTTTAAATCGAATCTACTATGATTTTACTGTAGAAAGGCATTTTTATTAAATGTAAACAATAATTTTCTTCAAAATATTCATTGTTTTCCCAATCTTGATAAAGTTGACCAACCTAACAATTACCTCACATATATAATACACAAGTTATAAAGCAAATTTTATAGGTTCTCATTATTTCATCATTTTTATATTTAAAAACTCTACATAGAATTGAGTAAAATAATCATTTTCCTCAATAGACTAATAAAAATGTAAACTTTTTTCAAAAGAAAACCCAAAAAAGAGATTGCACATTTTAATTTATTATGAATATAAACTCTCTTGTTGATTGACAACTGCCATCAAATGATAGCTTATCTTGCAGAGTCAGACTGCAAGTTGGAACAACCTTAGGATCGCTGAAACACTCTATCATACTCTATGCCAGCCATGAAGCAAAGAAAAATCTATCAGTATTTGGGACGAGAGAGAAACAAGAAATGCTCTCTACAAAACTGGTAGCAAATGCCCCCAACAATCCATTTACAAGCACAGATTTATTGCAAACTGACAAGAAATGCTCTCTACAAAACCGGTAGCAAATGTCCCCAATAATCCATTTATGAGCACAGATTTATAGCAAGTTGACAAACTGGACCTGCCTGTGCCTTGAGGCAAATGGCAAGAGGTCCCCTGAGGAGCACTTTAGCCAGTCCTCCTCATTTCCATTACACCATGGAAGAAAGAGGCAAAAACCCACTGGCAAGTTCAGGGCCAGCACAAGATTAAACAACAGTACCCAAAAGACTTCTATCCCCAGGAGAACAAAAGAAAATGCAAAGATAAACTGGAAAGAAATTCTTCCTGCGCAATCACTGGAACTAAAAAGGGATCAAGCCACCTTAAAAAGGCCAATAAAGCATTCTGGGCCTTCACATTTCAATGCATTATGACATCGTGAAGTGGGTTTCTCTGGTTTCTCTAAAAACTCTTACCTTTCAAAATTCTGTTCTCTTCTTACAAGATAATTGTGGACTTAAATAATGAAACATCTACGGTGTGACACCACATAAACTATCAGAAGATGTAGTCACCATTTTTATCTGCTTCCTCCTGATCTAGTGCATTTTTAGCAACTGAAGTAAAAAGTTTGACATGTCTCAGCAGCAAGGCACACCACTTAGAATGAATCCCTGCATAGATATACCAGGATGTGTATGTGGTTCATTCCAAGTGACTATACCCTTCATGAACATTTCATCAGCCTTACTAAAAAATATGCAAAAAATTTTGAGACAGGGTCTCACTAGGTAGTTGAGACTGACCTGGAACTCACTATGTAGCCCAAGCTGGTCTCGAACTCATAGCGATCCTCCTGCCTCAGCCTCCCAAGTGCTGGGATTACAGGTGTGTGCCACCAGGCCCGGCAGCAGTCATATTTTTTAGAGATCTTTTCTTTCTTAATCACTTTGACCTTTAAGACTATTTTTTCTTACTCTAGCTTTTCATGTTATTCCTGAGAGATTCTGGAAAAGAGATGCTTTGGCTTTTTAAATTTTTTCTTTTTTTTTTTTTAATCAATTTCTTGTGCCCTACATGCAAAAAGAGAAACCTAGTTAAACTGGTTTTGTACTTATTTAGCACAAATCTCTCATTCTATGCCAGCTATGAATAAGCCTGGCCAACAACTAAAGTACCCAGGCTCATATGTGCATGCTTTACAGTAACTGCAGAGGGGGAATTAAAAAGAGAAAGAGGTGAGTTGCAGGCTTACCAAAAAAGGAGAAAATCAACCTTCAAATTGTCTATATTCACCCTACCCTTTCTGTACCAATTTAGATGACGACAGTGGAAATCTGGACTTATTAAGGATAAGAAAGACAAAGAACAGGTCATAACTTTCAGGGTCTCAAGGTAAATTTTGAGGGACAAGAAGAATTTGGGAAAACAAAGAGATTTTTACAAAGCTATTCAAAAGGCTGACGTTACTTTTTGGCTTCCTTCCGCTTTGACACATAATCCCTACTTCCAACATTCTCTACCTGCCAGAATACCGCCTCATACACCTGTAACCACTACTAAATCATGCTTCACATCCTTCCTCTCTATTGAAATTGTTATTCTAAACATTCCTTATAGGTTTTCTGGCTTTATGTGCACAGCACATCTTGCTCAAAGGAAAATTGTATTTCTTGCTGCTATATTTTAGTCATCATTGAAAATCAAGAATCATAAACACACCTTACCACAGTTTACAACATAGTATAGCTTAGATGTGTTATACTGGCCTCCTATGTTCACTGCAGCTGACCAGCTTCCAAATCTTGCTAGGAATTCAGAAATGGACAATTTAACTTCCTATTTATACTTCCTATCTCATCATTGCCAACTCTGGCTGAAGATATAATTTAATTTACTTCAAATGTTTGAACAAGAAGAATAAAAAGCACTTCCTCAAGCTAAAACCACAGTACTTTATATCACAAAGTTTCTAGGATAGTAATCAAAAACCAATGAAAATCTAATAGTTAAACCCAGAGAACTTTGGGCTTCACAAAAGCTAATGTTGCTGTGTGCACATACAAAATGATAGTATATAATCATATGAATTCACTAAGATTACCCACATTAAGCTGAATGGTTTCATTCTATAATCAAACAAAACTAACTATAGTTAAATTAATAATCTGGGGCCTACTAATTCAAGAATTTATACACTCATTTGTACATGCAAATTCTGCCCTACAAAGATATTGGCCTTCTGAGGTATCTATAAGATTCAAAAGAGCTTCTTTAAGCCAAATAACACCATTACCACTCAATTAAAATACAGTGGACCCTGACAAATGAACAACTTGGGTTAATTAGAAGATTCATCTGCCTCTTGTTATCTATAGGGTTTACCCAGGTAAACATCCAGATCTCCGTTGTACTAACTTGGATAAAACCAGCCCTCAGGAATGGATCTAGTTTGTAAGTCAAGGGTCCACTATAACTAGAATTCTTCTCCAGGAAGCTGAGGCACAAGTTCAAGGCCACAAGTTTAAGGCTAGCCTGGGCTATACTGGGAGCTCAAAGCCAGCCTGACTATAGAGTAGGATCTTGTCTCAAAAAATAAAAACAAAAAACCTAACAAATGAAAAACTGATATCTCACAGCCCTTTCACTTAGTCATAAATTTATCACTAAAAGCATATCAATTCCAAAATAACTAAATGCCAGCCTCTCTGTTGTCAAATCAATGATCAGGCTACTCAGTAGAAATATTTTGTAATTCAAACTACCAGTTTCTGTTAATTTCCTAAAACTGGCAGATAATTAGTACTTACAATTTGCCAAACATTTCATAGCGGACAGTACCCAATGAGGGAGTTCTTCTACAGGAAAAAACGAGAGTTAAAAAGAATATTTTATTTAATTCTACGTAACCCAAGGAATTATATACATACTTGGTATTATAAGAATGCATTACTTGTCTAGGTAACATGAAATATCACTGTCTTATGTATCAGAACATTTAAAACAGAACTTTTGACTTAGCAATGCTATAACATATGCTTATATAAATCATTATACAACAGTTTTCAAGATTTAGGGAAAGGAAAATTAGGGCATTTTGTCTCAGAGATACAAATCAGCAAATAAATCAATTAACCTTAAGAATTACAAAAAGAAAAAATACAAAGAAGGAAAGATATTAGTCAGCAAATGCATTTGTGAAACAAGTTTACAGTCTCTAAAAAAGAAACTAAAGGTAAATTAAAGAATAAAGGCTGCTCGGTGGTGGTGCTTACAGGTATGAGGTCAGGACTTTAACCCCCAGAGCCACACACACACACACAAAAAAAAAGAAATTAACTTTGTAGGTTCGAAATAAGTACCATTTTGCCTGTTACTATTTTCAAAATGTTTTAGGTCAAGAAAGTTCCAAAAACATATTAAATCTTGGTTATTACAATTAGGACAATCTTAAAATGACAGGAGTAACACTGCTACACAAAGCCACAGCAGAACCATCTGAAGCTGTCTTTTCCCTCCTGGCCCTGCAACCGACACTGTGAAATGGGCCAGCATCATGATTCCACTTGTTCTTTCTACTCTGCAAAAGTGGGAAGTCACTATTGAACTGAGTTACACCAAATGTACAATTTTCCATTCTTCCTGAAGTACTTACAAAAACAAAAGATGACTGCTCTTATGGCAGTAGCTGAAAGTATTAATCCACTACACTCAGAAAATGTGGAAAGGTTAAGATGTACTTCAAAGGCCACATTATCCCTCATTATAGGGAACTTAACGTTATACGTTGGTACCCACATAACAACTCAGGAAGTCCCCATAAATCTATCCCTGGCTCCCACTGTCCTCCATTCCTAATACAGCAGCTGAGAGAGGCAAAGTTCTTCCACTCTCAAAGACAGGTTCTGCTCCTGCCAGGAAACAAGGTGTAAGAAACCTTCTGCTGGCTGCACAGGAGCCTCCAGCTCTGAATTAAATAATACTTTATAAAATCTGAAAAAGTGCTACACATTCAAATGTCATTTAGTTCCAGCTAATTCTCAGCATCAAGGACTTAAAACTAAAAGAAGAACAAATCATAGTGTTTATCCAACTCTGGTCCATCCCCTATCCTTACAAAAGAAGTTTAAAAAATCAGTCTGGGGATTATGGACATCTATAGACACCATGACTGTATTTGTTTGAATCAAAAACTAGGTCTGGGGCCAGGGATTTAACTCAGCAGTGCAGTGCCCGCCTCACAAGCACAAGGTCCTGAGTTTGATCTCCGGTACCAAAAGAAAAACCAGGTCTGAGGGCTGCTAAGTGTCTTTTTTTCTCCTTATCTTTAAATTGGCTTAATCTGTAAATAAGGTATTTGAAAAAAAAAAATTAAAGCATCTTTAGCATTTAAAGAGCAACCTTAACAAAAAGGAAATAAAATGACATAACTCAAAACTATCCCAGGTGACCTGACAAAAAGACTAACATGAAAAATTAAGTCAGAATCCTAAATGCTGGAGTCACACTCCAGTGCCCATATGAAAACTGATTCAAGCATTCAGGTCTTACACAGACTCCTGTTAATGATAGTTTCCTGAGTTTCCTGAGGAATAATACACAACCACTCAATTCCCATGGAAACAATAATGAAATGGCCTGGGGGGGCGGTTCCTGAGGCCCTTACTCCTGGATACTCCCCTTTCTATTCCTTTTTCTTAGTCTAAACAATCAGTTAAAAGGTATTTTTAATAAACAAAGTGTTAGGAGGTGAGAGAGGATATATGTGATGAGGGAGTGAATTTATTTAGGATTTACAAAAGGTTTAAATAGGAGATGATGGGCCTATGCAGCCAACATGTTGGATCAACCAAAAACAAACAGGTTTCAGGCACTTACTGGACTTGTCATCAAGGATAACAACTCCCTGCTTGCTAACACTGTACACATTATGAATGATGAACTTGGAGTTGACGAGTTTGATGTCTAAAACTTCTTCTAAGGAATCCAGGCCAAGGATTTTCTGTAAACTAAAAAGATAAATAGTAACTATATTATTTAATTACTTTCAAAGAATCATGATTTAACTAAAAGAATGACACTGCAAAAGATTAATCTGTAAGATGCACTATTTCATTTATTTTTACCCAGTCTTTGCTGGCAAAATGGTTACAAATACAATATGATAACGTAAAATTAAAAGATATCTTTTTTCACCACTAACACGTTACTTCAATGATTTAATTATATAATACCCTGAATTCTAAGAAAGTAATTTGATAACCAAAAAATATTATAAAACAAAAACTAACTTATCCAATGGTAAGAAACTGCTACCAGTATATCTTTGTGGGGGAAAAAAAATGCTGTAAAAATGTTAAATTTAATTATATCTATAGTACTTATCTTAAAGATTCAGACTAAATTTTGTATTATATGTTTATAAAGTGAAAGATTACAGTCTTACCAGAAAATTTAAGAACTTTTAAACTCTTATTTTTAGCTGTGACATAGAAGACAATAGACAATTCCTAGAATTCAGTTAAATTATGTCAGTTAAATGGCATAGGTACAAATTATACAAAGCCGAGATTTTTATATGTAGTTTCAGGAAATATGCAAACAGTAGTGAAACTGCAAAATAGAAGAAAATTAGTAAAACTTCTCTTTCATGTCAAATGTACATACTATGACAAGGTCATCGACTTCCATATTTCTTCCACATGGGCCTCCGTCAGCTGTCTGCGGTGGACCAGACGGCAGGCCGGCACCTCGCCTATGGCAATACTGTGACGCTTGAACCACATCTCAGAATTCTGATTCAAAGGGAGAGGGTGGAGAAATGACAAGGGATAGAAGAAAGGGGATAGTAAAAGAGAAAATATTTCAGTATAAGTTTGTATGAGTTTTGGAGAAATGTCTCTGATTTGACAATACATCATTTGATTTAAAATGAGTAGAATCATAAACTAAGCTTCTTTTTTTGTTGTTGGTTTTTTTTTTCAGCTTTAATTGAGTTTATTGGTACATTTTAGGGATACAGTACAGTTACATTCATTGTTGGGATCTTGTACCTCTACATGACAAGTCTTGATTCTCATTTTTTCCCCTTACCCCTGCCCTCCCTTCACCCCCTCCTCCCCTCCCCATCTACAAACACTTTAGCTAAAGGTGTAGGGAAGGTGGGACAGGTAGGGGAATAAGGGAAAAGAAAAAAATGTGAGATAATGAAAAGATGGAAATAAAGTGTTTGTAAACTAAGCTTCTTTACACAGACCTCAGAGGTGAAAGAACGACTCTTAAAATTAGGTGATACTATAAAGGAATATTCACAAGTTACACAAGAGTTAAGGCATTAAGCATGGCATTGTCTAGCTAATATTTCTGGCCTGACTTCCAACTAATCAGTGAAGTCACAATAAAAAAATTTTTAATAATTCGAAATTAAGACAAGGAGTATCTAACTTTGCCCTAAATTGAATGACTGTTTAAAAGAAGAAGTCTATTACTTTCAAGAATTCTCTCTCTTTTTATAGGTAAATACCAAATAAGTACAGTGTTGGAAAGTAGCCCAATCCCAGGCATCTGCAAAAGGTGGAAAAGCAAAGACAAGGACAGCTGAGGACACCTCAAGGGAGGAGGGCAGAACCAACCATGCAGAGGAAAAAAGCAAATGCTTAGCGTGGTGAAATGTCTGCCCCCAGACCCTTGGCTCTACATCCTAGGATTCTCAGTAGCTCATTTCTCATATAAGCTCATGGACATAAGTTATAAACCTTTCTTTTCATAATGACAAAGATAAAATTTTGACCTTTAAAGGCATATTAGAAGTCATTTCCAAAGAGTTTCTACTAATAGGTTTTGGTAAAAGTAATATTATAGAAAAATCCTATTAATCCGGGGAGGAAAGACACAAGAAGGTTGTATTTTTCATTTGGTTTTTGGTTTTGCTTTCTTTGTTTTTAAAAAATTACTGAATTATAAAAAATGTCAAAGGCTGCATAACTATGTGAATTTTTAAACATCTAAAACAGGGGTTTTACAAGTCTAGCACAAAAGTTGTTGCACTTGCCTAGCAAATCTACTTACATATGTATCCTAAAATAACCTCATGAATATATTAAAATATTTGTAAAGATAAATAAAATATATCACTTTTCTATGAAACATGTTGCAAACATTAAAAATAATGCCCAATGCTTAATAGTAAGCCAGGCATGCAGCAATCCTAGCACTGAGGGGGCTGAGGCAGGAGCATCACCACCAGTTCCAGGCCTACACACAGAGTTCAAGGCAAGTCTGAGCTAGCTATACACACACACACACACACACACACACACACACACACACACAGAGCCAGACCCTATTTCAAAAGCATACAAAACAGCTTAACAACATAAAAAAAATTGATATAACACACTAAATGAATAGAGGCCCAAAAATAGTCTGTAGGAGCTCATTTCTGTGTTAAAAACATGCATGAAAAAAGGGGGTTTTAGCTTAGTCGTTCCACCAACTGCCTCACAAGCACAAGGTCCTGAGTTCATCCCCGATACGGCCAAAAAAAAAAAAATTAATCATACTAATTCTCTCTCCAGATAATATTATGGATAACTCATTTTCTTCTTTTCTGCCTAAAACAATTCTATGAAATAAATTAATAATAGCAATAGCATTTAACAATTACTGAGAAATTGTGTTCCAGGCATTATACTTAGCACTTTATAGGTACAGACTCTCCTAACTTCACAGCAACCCTACCTTACAAGGTCCTATTATCCTAGTGTCCTGGTAATGGAAGAAGCCAGGAATCAAAGCAGCAGTCTGGCTCTAAAGGCTACACCACTGCTCTTCATATAACAGTGGTTCCTTGGCATACATAACAAATAATTGTATTTGCTCTACTTTACTTTATTTGTTTTATATATATAATTAGATAAGAGACAAGACAAAACAAAAATAAGCAAACTGAACACAGAAACATAAAGAAAGACATATAGTAGAAAGGAATGACAAGCTCAAGGCCCCTAAGAAAGATGAACTGTTAATTTATTGACAATTAACCTCATCATTCTAAAAGCAGCATCAATGTTCCGAGGAGGAAACAGATCCTGCGCCCCTGTTCTTCCTTGGACAGGAGCCAGGCTTTGGTGAAATTACACGTAATAAGTATAGAGTGCAAACCCCTACCACTTCCTTTCAAAGGGACCAAAGCAAAGGCAAGACAAAAGTTACATGGGAAAAAAAAAAAATGTAAGGGACAGATGGCCCAGGAAGAAATAGGTTTTTTTTTTGGGGGGGGGGTCAAGCAGCTGATGAATGTGGAACTCTAGCAAATCACTCAGAGCTCCTGAGAAATCTGAAACTAAAAATTGAAGTGGCTGTCACTGGTGTGAAGCCCTGAACAGTGGATGGAAATGCGCTAAGGAACACCTGGTCTTCTGTCTTGAATGACATTCAGAACACTGGGAGCAACTTCACAGGACCAGGGAGATCAGAACAGGGATGTCAGTAGATCAATGCCAGTAAAAGGACATTAATTTAACGGGATTTTATCTCTGTATGTCAATAACACCAGGTGACCTTACAATGAAAAAAATGCCTATTGAATAAGAACTCTACTTTAAAGTCATATTGGGTGTTTTAATACAAATGTTCAAAAAAGTGTACCTGATCTATTGGAACTTATATTTTAATTTTCTCTAAGACAAAAACTATCAACTAGACAATAACTAACTACTCCAAATTAGAAGTTCTCAGAAAACACTTATTCAGAGAATTTTCACTGTTTTCTAACAGTTAATTTTGTGTTGTGTGCTTCCATGGACCGTGAGCCCTAAAGTAATAATTCTGGTACATATTACTGTCTCTAAAGCCTGGCACAATGCTTGGCATACAGGCACACTCAATAAACGCTTTTAATAAATACAGGACATCCAAATACATCCTTCTTTAAGTTCCAGGCTCATTGTCTCCAGCTGTCTGTTAAGACACAAATTTGACACAGCCCATCTTTATCATCAATTAACCTGACAAATCTGCATGACCCTATGGAGACCCCACTTTCTTCACCAGCATCTCTCTTTCCCTTGAAACATTTTTTAATAAAATTCTAAGCTTCTTAACTGTTTCTCCAAACTGAAACACAATGCAATCACTTTAGAATTATTTTTTAGCCACAGTGCCTAAAAATGGTTTTGTCATATCTTTGCAAATAAAACTGTTTTGGACATCAAGTCATACCTGACTACATTAACTTAAAACCTTATAGTATTTATAAAATTCTTTAAAACTGCCTTATAAGCTTTTCTCTGTATTTTTATTTTTTAGTATTATCTCAATCTTGACAGTCTTCTCAAGGGATATTTCAAGGAAAAAAGTATACCAAAAATAAATAAAAAATAAGGAAGGACTCTACTTCACAGTAAGCTGAGGTTTTTCCAATATTAAAAGAATCTACCTTTGTTCATATATAGTGTCATAGATCATTCCACAATACATCATGTCATGCCCTACTTTCTCACTTTCAACTGATAATAATTATACTAAGCTCATGAGAAAACAGGAAGAAGAGTGAGTCAGAGAACAGACAAGAAAAGGGAGTTTTAACAGAAAAATGCTCTAACATATGTAATGTAAACATATCTCATAAATTTGGTCAAAAAGTCAATGGGCAAGAGTGAAAAACTGAAAAAGCCAATCTTTGTTAACTGGTCTCTCAGCTGTTGACTAAACAGTCCTGTCTTATAGTACCCTCCAGAGTACCGTCAGAAAGGACCAAGAGGGAGAAGATAAGGTTAAGTTCCAAGCCTGAGAGTTACTAAATGGCTTCTCCCAGGAAGGGTCCTATGTCTTTTAGTCACAGCACTTACCATCACAACTGGCCTCACTGGGATGTTCTCTTGTGAGGTATCTGCTGGAGAATCATTCCATCCTGGGAATTTAATGACATCATTTTGGTATGGGGGCTTCTTTGGATATGGTTTCAGGGGCGAGGAAGGAGGAAATCTAAAAGCCAAGAAGAAATGCTCTATCACTGCAGTCAGTGGGAGACAGATATTTAAACAACAGCTGTGTACTTGGAAATTTATAGAATAACCCCAAACATCAGGTAATAAATGGGCTCATCCTACATCAAAGTATTAAACATGGCTAATTGTACCCAATAATAATATGGCTTTTTTGGCCAGGGATTTAGCTCAGTGGCTCCATCCCTAGTACCAAAAAAAAAAAATTGCTTTAAAAAATATTCATTATGCACATCAAATAAGATTTATAGAGAAAGTTATCCAACATACAATACATTTTAAAAATAAATAAATTCTTATTTTTTATTGTCATGTTTGAAGGTGCTCTTTTTTTTTTTTTGGTACCAGGGATTGAACTAGGGTCCTTGCGCTTGCAAGGCAGGCAGCAGAACCACTGTGCCAAATCCAAAGCCCCGAAGGTGCTCTTAATGGGAAGCTAGGTCCCTTGTTTCACCCACCTTGAAATCATTATTGCCATATAACTTCAGCCAAAACTTATAGATGGTAAGTTCCAAATAAATTCAATGATGAAGAAATCCCCTATATTTGCTAAGGAAGAATATATTAACACCAAAATCATTTGGCCTAATATTCACTTTAATTAGAGTATTTTTAAAACTCTAATTAAATTTAATTCCCTTTGAATATCAATTCATGTAGGAAGTGTCAACTTCAAAGTCCATCTTGAAGGAGCCAGAAAGCTGCCCAGTATCCTCAAAAAAAAAAAAAAAAATCAATTTGCCGGCCTGGTGGTACACACCTGCAATCCCAGCACTTGGGAGGCTGAGGCAGGAGGATTGCTGCAAGTTCGAGACCAGCCTGGGCTAAAGAGTAAGTTCCAGAGCAGTCTGAACTACATAGTGAGACTCTGACTCAAAGAAAAAAAAAAAAGAAAAGCTGCCCAGTATCCTTATTCTACCTTTCTACACAGCTTCCCTCTTCCTATTCTTGTCTACCAGCAGCATCATTTCTTGGACAACTCCTGGGAAGCCTCCATCAATTCAAACTCTCTTTTTGCTGGCCTACACCACACATAATAAAGAACTAAAACTAAGTATATATTGTTCTTAGAGGATCTTCTTCTGTGAGCTTATCAGAAAAGAATACATCACAACACACTGTGGGACTGAGGGTGCAGCGCAGTGTGCAGACCACTTGCTGAGCATGCACAAGGCCCTACACTCAACATCCCACCCCTCAAATACCCACAAAATAGGGAAAAGGCATTGCAGTACATTGCAAAAGCAGATGCACGAACTCTGCATCCTCCTGTCAATACAGACATCAGTAGTTTGGTGACTTTTATTTTTACTTTTATTTGAGCCAAAATAAATGCTTAAAATCTTACCTATAATATTCAAGGAAAAAGTATTCCAAAACATGAAACATTTATTCTTGAAGCAAATGCAGAAACAAGGAATTTTAAAACATCTATAGTTTTCAAGGCAAGTTTGTATCAAGGTGAATCAGAAGAATCACAAATAATAACAGCACTGTAGAGAAATATTTCAAAAGCATTCTCAAGAGACTTGAAAACAGATGACTAATGGAGAAAAGATGAGTTTCATCTTCTCTGAAAAGAACATCCAATAACCGCACTTTACTTGAAAAGTCAGTTTTGAGTCAGTAAGAAAAAAAAGGGGGGGGAGTCTGGAAATCATTAAATCAAGTTAAAGATAAATAAACGAAAGCTGAAGATTCTGGTAATCAAGTTACTAAGGCAGTTTTCCCAAAAGAGTCTAAAATATAAACCAAATAAATCTCTAAAGCCAATCATGGTATCTTACTTTGATAAGGCTGGCATCCAATCCAATTTTGTTAAAAGACCACAGCCACGACAAAAGTTCCATTTCCAGTTAAACTACAGCATTCATGCACACACACACACACACACACACACACACACAAACACACACACTCTACTGCATATGATTACAGGAGTTCACAGACCAATCCACCTCTCAGTCCATTAAAAATTAAACATAATCTTTATCCTTACTCCACCACCCATACCCACTCTTTACTAGCCAACTCAATTCTCTTAACTATGGTAAAAAAATCTTGGACCTGAGTTCTAGGCTTGGCTTTTTCATAAACTGTGTGTCTTTTAGAAAGTAAAAAATAGCTCTAAATCACATCTGTTCATTTCTCTAGTGAAAGAATTAAATTGGATAATCTATAAATGTCCTTCTAGATTCAAAAATGGGTTTCTTGCATTCTCACACCCCAAAACAAGTATCATCACCCAAAGACCAAAGCAGAATTTCTTATGTGCGAACAGAGATTGAAGAAATGACAAGGAGTTCCTTTCCCACTCCAGCTCCTCCAAAGACAAGCTCTTTGCCATGAATGACATCTGCAGCTATCAACAGGAGGTTCAGAGGGGTGTTAGCTATTTTCACTAAAGTCTGGTGACTCTGTCTGAGCCAAGTGTGTCTGAGACACACTCTCCAGTGGACTGCTTTTATTTTGTGCACTGAAAGTTATCAATTTAATCCTAACATTATGCAGTCTCGGGCTAGAAAGCCCTTTAGAGCTGATCTAATTCAAATGTCACATTTTTCACACAGGAAAATTAAGAACCAAGAGAGGAAAGCAACTTTTTAAAAGCCTTGTAACTAACTAGCCAAGAGAAGCATCTTGCACAAAAGATTTGCAAGTTCTTTCATATGAAAATTACAAAACTTCATTGAAAGACACTGAAGAACTAAATCGACAGAGAAAAATATCACATTGGTGAATAAGAAGATTCAATATTATAAAATTTCAATTTTCCTCATGAAGATCTGTAGTTACAATGAAATTCCAATGAAAATATAAAGCTTTTCATGAAACATAATATAGGGACTCTTAGAATTCATATGGAGGGCGGGGGATTTAGCTCAGTGGTTCCACCATCTGCCTTGTGAGCACAAGGACCCGAGTTCAATCCCCGGTACCAAAAAAAAAAAAGGAACCGCAAAGGGCCAAAAATAATGGAGATAGGCTTACAGAAAAAAGACAAAGTGAGGCAACTTGCCCTACTAGATTATGAAGGCCAGTGAAGATAATGTCACAAGCCACAGAGCTGCAGAAACCAGGGTTTCTCCATGGCAGCATCATTAACATTTAGAGACAGTTCTTTGTTGTGGGATTGCCCTGGGCACTGCAGAATGTTTAGCTGTATCTTTGGCCTCTACCCACTGGACATTAGCAGCACTCTCCAGCATTTATTTATTTATCTGCTATTTATGACAATCAAAAACTTCACCAGATGTTGCTGAATGGTCCCTGCAGAATTTGTCCCAAGTTGAAAACCCTGGGCTTAAATGAGAATCTAAAACAAACAAGCAGTCAAATTTAGAAACATGATTTATAACAGAGTAGATCTATGGGAAAGCATGGAATGTTCAATAAACAGTACTGGGTCAATGGTTATCCTTCTGGGAAAAATAAAGTAGCCTCCCTGAGGCGGGCTGCCACATTTCCAAAGATAATTACATTCCAAAGGTGTTTATGGCAGTTAGCTGGCCCTGTGCTTTTCTGCAGTGTGATCTTGCCACTGCCAATAGGCAGGGTGCATTTCTCCTCCTCTTTGCATTTGAGTCTAAGTGTCCCGCCTCCTTGGAACTCTCACAAAGTCTTGTATAAGAGTTTGGTGGGTGGGGCTGAAAGTTCTAATTCTCTACTCCCTTGGTAGAGACTCTATCCTAAGTAATCTCACTATGATAAAGGGAGCGGGGCATCCTGGTAGCGGGTGGCGGATGCCTGTAATCCCAGCATTCAGGAGGCTGAGGCAGGAAGATCCCTGTGAGTTCAAGACCAGCCTGGGCTACATAGTGAGTTCCAGCTCAGTCTCAACTACATAGTGAGACCCTGTCTCAAAAAAAAAAAAAAAAAAAAAAAAAAAAAAAAAAAAAAAAAAAAAAAAAAAAAAAAAAAAAAAAAAAGATAAAGGCAAACTATGAGGGTGTATTTTCCAAGAATGGCCACAGCACCTCCCATATGCTGTAGACTCTTCCCATCCTCATATGTGACTCGGAAACTCCCCACCAACAGGGATTATTTCTCTGCCCCACCATCATGTGAGTGGACCGAATGACTGCTCTAACAAGAATTCAGCAGAAATGAAGCGATGCTATGGAGATCCAGGCATATCCCTTGGCCTACCTAGCAGTTTTCTTGTCTGCGGGAAATACTTGCTCTTGGGACACAACCTTCCCTGGCCACCCGATAATTACATAAGCTACCCCAAGATCAGCATGCATCAAGAAGCACAACCCAAGAGGAAATGCCCTAGAGAACAAAACCTCATGAAGAGAGACAAGCCAAGGAGCACAAAGGAAGCACAGCTGTAAGAAGAGAAAGAACCCACTGAAATTTGGGGTACAGTGTATCAGCAATGGAAAACCAGAACAATCCCTCATTCACACTGTTAAAAATAAATATTCAGCAAAACAAAACCATTGCCCAATGTAAGAAAATAACTCTCTGACCTTGGGTAATGAAGAGATTCTAAGATATTAAAACCATATAGTAAAGAAAGAAACTGATATATTCAAAATTAAGAACTTTTCTATTCATCGGGATGCCATAAATAAAAAAGAAAAATCATGGTTGGGTGTAGCTCAGTGGTAGAGCCTTTGCCTAGCATGCACAAGGCCCTAGGTTCTATCCCCAGCAATGACAGAGAGAATATGAGAGGTCTTTGCAATTGGTATAAGTGACAAAGGATTAATATTCAAAATATTTTTTTAACTACTAAGAATCTATAAGAAAAAAATGTATAGAAAAAGACATGAACCAAGCATTTCCAGATGTGGAATCAATAAAGTTGAATAAACATACAAAATTATACTAATACAAGCCAGGCATGGTGCTGCACACCTGTAATCCCAGCACTGAGGCTGAGAAAGAAGATCACTGTGAGTCTGAGGGCAGTGTGATACATAGTGAGTTCAAGGCTAGCCTGGGACACACGGTGAGACCCTTTCTAAAAAA